CATTAACTACGCAAAAGCCTTTGACTGTGTGGACCAAAGCAAACTATGGCAAGTTCTTAAAAAAATGGGAGTGCCTGACCATCTTATCTGTCTCCTGAGAAATCTATATGTGAGACAGGAAGCAACAGTTAGAACTGGATATGGAGCAACTGACTGGTTCAAAATTGGGAAGGAGTACGACAAGGCTGTATATTGTCTCCGTGCTTATTTACCATATGCAGAATACATCATGCGAAAGGAAGGACTGGATGAATCACCAGCCGGAAACAAGGTTGTTGGAAGAAATATCAACAATCTCAGATATGCAGATAATACCACTCTGATGGCGGAAAGTCAGGAGGAATTAAAGAACCTCGTAATGAGGGTGAAAGAGGAGAGTGCTCAACATCAAAAAAACTAAGATGTTGGCCACTGGCCCCATCACCTCCTGGCAAATAGGAAGGGAAGATATGGAGGCAGTGACAGATCTTAATTTCTTGGGCTACATGAGCACCCCAAATAGTGACAGCAGCCACAGAATTAAAAGACGCCTGCTTCTTGGGAGGAAAGCGATGACAAACCTCTACATTATCCTAAAAAGCAGAGACATCACCTAGCCGATTAAGGTCTGCATAGTCAGAGCTATGGTTTTTCCAGTAGCGATTTATGGAAGTCAGAGCTGGACCATAAAGAAGACTGGCCGCCAAAGAATTGATGCTTTTGAATTATGGTGCTGGAGGAGACTCTTGAGAGTCCCCCCTGGACTGCAAGGAGATTAAATCTATCCATTCTAAAGGAAATCAACCCTGTGTGCTCACTGGAAGGACAGATCCTAAAGCTGAGGCTCTAATACTTTGGGCATCTCATGAGAAGAGAATACTCCCTGGAAAAGACTCTGATGTTGATAAAGTGTGAAGGCAAGAGGAAGAGGGAACAACAGATGACGAGATGGATAGACAGTGTCATCCAAGCTACCAACATGAATTTGACCCAACTCTGGGAGGCAGTGGGAGACAGGAGGGCCTGGCGTGCTCTGGTCCATGGGGTCATGAAGAATCGGACACGACTTAACAACTAAACAACAACAACAAGAGTCAGGTCATCTGCCATATGAGGCATAAGTTATGACAACAGGATTTCAGCCATTATCAAGTTTGAGCCTCATTATAGGAATGGGGGATACAGGGGATAACTATTAAGTGTCAAAATAGAGGTTGTGATTTGCATCTACCACTGGAGATTAGGCTCGGATGCGGAATGTGTCACGTCGGTATTTAGTTCAGTACAACGTTAAATATAACCTATGGTTATGAAAGTGCATTTTCCTCACAACAGAATGGAGGGGCCTTGGTAAGTACAAAAGACAAGAGTTTTTTCTGTATCAGCAGCTGAATTCTGGGGAACTTTATTTTAAGGGAAGTCAGGCTGGCTCCATCTCCAGCTTCAAGAAAGTAACCAAAATTGTATTTTTCTGTGTGTCCTTCGGTCTGTAATACTGGTTTTAAAATTGGCTTTTAGAGTGCTTTTAAGCTTATTTTTAAAGACTGTTGACTTTTTTAAAGTGGCTTTTAAAACTGTTTTAAATCCACTTTAAAAGATGTTTTTATTTATTTATTATAAATTCCTTTGAGAGACCAGTGAGCATATAAGCAATAAATAAATATTATAAACACATAATAATTACTATACAATTGAAGTGGGTTTTTACAAATTATTTCTGTCAAAAACAGTGGGAGAAAGTCATAGTTTTGTGACTTACAATCTGTGAGTTTACTGAACATTTAGTTTGTTATTTAATTCAAACACCATCATAAAGTAAGTAGCTGGAGATATTGGTGTTCTCAAGTTCTAAGTAGTGTCATGCACGCTTGAAGAGAATGTACATAATGTACAAATCACAATATCTTTTATTATAATTTCATAAAGAAACATATGCAGTGGTGTCCCGCTTGATGATGACCCCACTTGACGATGAAATCGCTGTATTTATATGGGATTTTTTCGCTTTACGTTGATTCGGTCCCTGCTTCCCTGAACCGTTTTTTCGCTTGACAACGATTTTCCCAGCTTTGTAAAATGGCTTCCCTTCGCAAAATGGGTGTTTTCCGGGTGGAAGCTTCACATTACAGTGAATTAGAACAGCTGATTGGTGGTTCTCTATGGGCGATCTTCGCAAAACGAGCGGGTATTTCTCCCATTGGAACGCATTAACCGGTTTTCAATGCATTCCAATGGGTTTTTTACTTTTGCATGATGACGATTTCGCTTTACAGCGATTTTAACGGAACAGATTATCGTCGTCATGCGGGGCACCACTGTATTAACTAATATGAATGGCATAGTTCAAGACACCAAAAACAATGTTAACTCTCCTTGTAAGGGTCAAATCATGAGTAAACGGAAATATATTTTATCTTCTTGTAATGCTTTCCCTTCAGACATGCAAATCTTTGGAAGCTAGTGCATAAAAAAGTAAACATACAAATAAAGTTGTGCTTATTTCCCAGTGGCTAATTACAAAATAAGACAAGCTAATCTGACAAATACAGATTGAGTCAAGCTCATAGTGTAAATAGACAATCTCTTACCTCTTAAGGGAATTCTGCAACTAATGACATGTTAGCTCAATCATTCTGTTCAGCCCTAGGAAGTACATTTTACTTCATTTCCTGTTACAGTCACTAAGAAGGGCAGCAGTCTAATAAACATAGCTGAAAGCCACTGTTCCAGAAGTGAACAGACTACAGGGAGGTAAACTGCTCAGTCTACAGTCACACATTCATTCAGCAATGTCCAATGCTATTTCTTACAGAACTTCACTGCTCCCAAAAAGCATTCCATTTATTTCACTGGATAGAACAGCTCCATTAATGTACTGTAACTTGCTCATGCACAGAGTTGTGCCCTCTAATATGATCAGCCTGGAAGCCTCCTGACTTTCTACTTATGTGTTGATACAGCATGTACACACACAAACACCATGACTATGGACAGAGGTTTTCATATAGCCTAACTTGTATTCAGACTTAAAACAAACCTACCACTAACCCATAGCCTACAAAACACCAAAATTTTATAGGCATTAAATTCAGCTACTTGCGACTGTGTAAAGGTGCTGCTGCTTCAAAGAGTGTTTCTGATTGACACTAACAAATAATTCACACTCAGCACGGCATGTAGTTTCAAGATGTAATTAGCAGGAACAGAGAATATTCCTTTTACTAAGAACCAATCTGAAAGACTGGGAGTTAAAGGAACAGAGTGAGGTGCTGCTTGAGCACATCTGCTTCATTACTTTGATTTCAGATATTTAAAAAACCTCTCCTCATCACTTTTTCTCCAGTTTCTGCGTTCACTTGCAAAATATTTTTGTACATTCCAGCAAGCACAGACAAGGAGAAAACAGGTGTTCCATATTTAAAGGTTTTAAGATAAATAGGGTAATAGGCTTGAAAAACAATTCCATACCATTTACCGTTCCAAGACTGAAGACTGCATTCACCAATGTGCTCCCTTTCCGGAAATGATCCGTCATGTGTTCTAGCCAATTAGCTTCTAAGCTGCAAAGGCTCTGCCCATTACTGATTACTCTCACGGGAATTGTTACGGTGTAGTATTGGCTGGTTCTCTGCAAGGTCTTTGGTTTGTTGAAGACTGCGAAGATCTCAGTTTCTAAAGTTAAAAGAACACAATATGCTGAAATAGCTGCAACTAAAGGAAAATAGAGCTCTTTCTTCCTCTCAATCTACCCGCAAAAATAAGTACTACTGTACATTATGAAGCACTATTAATTGAGTTCTTTCTAACACAATACTGTACTAGATCATTAACATAAATGAGTTTTTGTTGCTACAAAACAACTTAATTTTTATAGCAGATGAATGGAACTATTTTAGTTTATGCATCTAGACTGCTGTTCTAGTACAACTGCTCATACACCTTTTATTTTAACATAATTTTACCAAACAAACTGCTGCATTCTATACTCACCTGCGAGTTCTTGTGTACAAGGCTGCACACAACCTGTCCTTAAAGTGACATTCATTCATTGCAGCAACTTTCTTTGTAGGGCACTATGCTTTTCCCCATCTAATTAATTAATTCTAGGAACCTCCCTTAGTTTGCATTTCTCTCAAGCAGTGAGTACAATGAATGTTTCTCTTCCTCGGTACAAGACATGTCTTTGTTATTTGCAAGTTCTTCAGTGTCTCTTCATCTGCTGCTTTGTTGCATACCATTTTCTTTCTCTCTTTCCCTATGAAGTAGTATATAAGAGTCCTTGTCCATCCAAATAAGAAAGAAACAACCGGAAATGAAATCAGTAATTGTGTGGAGAGTGTCTGTGTGTCTGTGATAGTAGACACCTTAATTTCCACTATGAAAGACATTTATTCAGATCATGGCAGGGAGATACGCGGTTAAACGTCCCCTACCCACCCTCTCATCCACCTACAATTCGCTCAGGACTGATTAGGCTACTCTGTGGCGGCTTTTACATTGTGATCTGTGCCATCAAGTCAGAACCAACTGATACCTACCATTTGATCCCATAAGACTTTTCCTATGATACAATTTTCAGATGCCTGGGTTTAGAAACTAGACTGAGTAAGCCATAAGCATTGGTACTTCATATGTAACATATTGTTTTCAGTTAATATTTGCACCTCATAGAGCCATCAAGTTTTTGTATTACTGTTTTTCAAATATGATCCTAGTTACAAATTTTATCTCATCTGGCTAACTTAAGATTTAGGCTAGCTAGGATTTATATGTTCAAATTCCTCTACTTTTCTTTGATCGCGAGTCTTGCTGATACCAATACGTGGTCTTCCTTCTTTTTCGTGTGATACTATGTCTTTATTCGTGGTTTTACTCTACTACACACCAGGGAGTGATCAGTATAGCAATCAGCATCCTGATAACTGTGTGTGATCGTAATATTAGGAAGTCTAGGGCGTCTAGTGAGGATCAAATCGAGCTGATGCCAATGCTTTGATCTTAGATGTCTCCAGGAAACTCTGTCTTGAAGCTTCGTATTAAAGAATGTGTTGCTGGGCAAGCCCCGGGAAGCCTCTGAAAGCAGCGCATGCCGCGGGGGGGGTACCAGTTTTCAGTTGCACCATCGAGCACCATTGGAGGACTGGCGGGGGGCTTCAGAAAGCGGTGCTGGCTCCCCTCCCCCCACCTCTCAGCTGTTCGGCGCTGGGTCTCAGAGCCTTCCTGGGGCTTGCCCAGCACGGAAAAAGGCAGGGGAAAAGCACCATTTTTGAATATCCCGCCCTTTCCCCCTGCATTTTTTTTTCTGGGCAAGCCCCGGGAAGCCTCTGAGAGCCAGCACTGAACAGCTGAGAGGCTGGGAGTGGGGAGCAGAGATGACCACAAAATGGCTGCCACCTCTCAGCTGTTTGAAGCTCTGGTCACACAGAGTCCGGCTGTTCCGGGGCTACCAAGGCACCGTGAGGAGTGGGGCTAGGTCTACAATACCTGGTACTGTAAATGACTTTGTTCTGACTTTTTTTGTTTCTGAGTTTTTTCGCCCATAGGAATGCATTAATTAAATTTCAATGCATTCCTATGGGAAACCACGCCTCGCAAGACAAAAATTTTGCAAGACAACATGACTCGCCGAACAAATTAATTTCATCTTGTGGGGCATCACTGTAGTTCTTTATCCATGTTACCAAACACCTAGTGGCTGAAATCCTGTACTAAGTCTTAACTAGATAGGACCATTGAATCTGATTGAGAGCTGATGAGTTATGCGGCATTCTTTGTGCCCAGTTTCCTAACCCTTCCCCATCTATAGCACATCTCTGTACTAGAGATGTCACAAGGCCTTCCTCTATGTGACTGGAAATGAGGGGAGGTATTGTGTTTACTGGTCATCACAACACGGACCACACACAGGGGGGAAGAGGTCTGAAGAGAGGAGCTGCTTTGCTACAGGTCCATAAATAGAAAGGTGACCATAGTTTCGAAATGTCTTTTTCTTTTTTGGTCTATAATTCCCAGAATTCCATAGTCATCGTGGCCAGAGGTATTTTGGGAGTTGTAGTCCACAAAAGTAACTTTTCACAAGCTTTGCAACAGGCTCCCCTCTTCAGAACTTCCCTTCAACAACTAAATGGGCAGAAAAGCTCCCTCTTTCTTTGAGCTAATTCTGACTGCATGGAGAAGAATGTCTGAAGGGGTCCCTATATAGTATTTATTTCTCTACACTTCTATTGCACAAAGCAGAGCAACCTTTTTTCACATAATTTCTTTGCTTTCCTTGTCTGTTTCTCAGTCTCCTTTCTCAGTCTCTTTTTCTTTTCATCTTTTAATCAAAGTGCTTCTGTACAACTGGCTCCAATACCGCTCACTACCTTAATTCATCTTGCCTGGTTTTATTGAACAAGCTGACATAAGCTCTCCTAGCTTGTGACTCTTTCTTTTTTCTTCTTGCTTTCTTTGTGAGAGGTGGCGTCTCATAAAGGTGACAGATACCTTCTAAAACATCCGTCTTGATAGAACACTTAACATCAATGAACTCTGTTCACTGAAGAGAAACAGAGGGAATGCTGGTGTGGCTATAAGAACACTGACACTCCCATAGGAGACAATGATTGTTTTAGACAGGAAAAAATGCTTTAATTAAGACAAGAGCATAGTTTTAAAAATAATAAAGAATTTTCTTCAGCTATTTTTAGAAGAAGAAGCTGTTGCCATTGATACCATAATCAACAACCTACCTACCAGCAACAGAAACAAGTAATTTGGACCAAAGCTTGGTAACAGTAAAAAATAAGCCTAAAAATACAGAATAATTTTTTTTGAAGAAACAAAAATACTTCTATATAAGGCCCACAAAAATTGCTTTGTGGATTCAGAGGATGGGGAAATTTGTCAGAACAAATGCAAGATTACAAAAAGGGTAAATACAAGTCCTTAGACTACAGCTAAAAAAACCCTTCACTTTAACCAGAATTCTCATATTTAAAATGTGTTGAACAAAAATGCAACTGTAGATTATATTTTACCCACAGTAAAAATAGATACAGTGGTGCCCCACTTAACAATTATCCCGCTTGATGACGAATCCGCTTCACGACGATGTTTTTGCGATCGCTATTGCGATCGCAAAACGATGTTTTAATGGGCAAAATCCACTTTGCGACGATCAGCTCCCTACTTCGGGAACCGATTCTTCGCAGTACAACGATCAAAACAGCTGATTGTCGGGTTTTCAAAATGGCTGCCGGCTGTTCAAAATGGCTCCCCGCTGTGTTCAGGATGGATTTTTAGCTGCACAGGCATCGGAAAAATGGCTGCCCTATGGAGGATCTTCGCTGGACGCTGAGGTATCTAGCCCTTTGGAACGTATTGAACCGGTTTTCAATGCATTTCAATGGGCTTTTTTATTTTGCTTGATGAGGATTTCGCTCTACAGCAATTTCGCTGGAACGGATTATCCTCATCAAGCGAGGCACCACTGTATAGAAATTCTAGTTCCACAAAGCAATCCAATTGCTGATGCAGGTTTTACATAGAGCAGGGTTTTCTCTAGCCAAGGACTTTACAATACAACATATACATATTAAACAAGAATCCAACATTATTTCAACATCAGTAATTATGTTTTGAATCCTATTGTAAATGGAAACACATTTATATGTTCATTAAAAGCTAACTGCATACTTGTAGATAAGATATACAATCTTGTCATTTATATGCAAGGCATAACAAGTTATAGGGGTAAACCAAGACAAAATTAAGAAAATGAAAAACATGGACTCAGAGGCAATGCCTGCTGGAGGCAGCCCCACTTTCTCTGGGCACTGCTGCTGAGTGAGGGCCCGCCAGAGGAGGCAGGGCTGGGAGGTGCCAAACAACTGTTTGGCCAAAAAACGAACTGGCACGAACTGTGCCCATCTCTACTCCTGATATTTTTGGTTTCAATATTTTTTTCTCTTAGGGGATCCTGACAAGGAATGCTCTCAAGATCTTTGAATCAGAGTGGGTTCCAGTGTTGGTGACTTGTCCAGAGAGGAAGAGAATACAAAGGTAGACTTGTGCTTGTGAGTTGTTGCTTTTGGAGATTTTGACATCATTTATCATGTCTGTGATCAATATCACCTTCTCTTGGAGGCATCCATCTGGAAGGGTGAAACACCACCTTCAAACAGTTGCTGGTTACAACCAGGGATCTCAAAACCAACCAAGATATTATGGTGCCACTGTAAAGATGGCCTCTCAGACTTTAGGAGATTTTGATACTGAGTGTCTATGAGGTCCATCCAGTTGTGGTGATTTTAATGCCAGCATTTCAGAAAGCATGAACTGATGAGCATACGGTGCTGACATCAATGCATAGGTTAAAGTACAGTGGTGCCTCGCTTAACGATTGCTTCGTACAACGAAAAATTCACTTAACGATGGCTTTTTCAGAGTGATCTTGTGCTTCACTTAACGATTTTCCCTATGGGTGATTTTTGCTTAACGATTTTGGGACCATGCTTCACTTAACAATGACAGTTTTAGGTCCCCTTGTTTCGCTTAACTTTTTTTACAGCCCCGTTTTTGCTATTTTTAAAATATTCTAAAATGTTTAAAAATGTTTAAAATGCTTGGAATCATTAGTGCACCTAATAAAACCTTTGTGAACTTAATTTGGCTTTGTTCTGAGTCTTTCTGAATTTTTTGTGAATTTTTTCCCCCATTGAAATAGGCTTCAATGCATTTCGATGGGTTTCGCTTAACGTTTTTTCCTATGGGGATTTTCGCTTAAGGATGGTAATCCGTTCCAATTGGAACGGATTATCCGGTTTTCAATGCATCTCTATGGGAAATGGTGTTTCGCTTAACGATGTTTTCACATAGCGATGTTTTTTTGGAACCAATTAAAATCATTAAGCGAGGCACTACTGTACTGCTCTCTGCACCCTCTGGTATTCCAGGAAGGGTGGTGGAAAATACTACTCTGGAACAGGATAAAAATGTGGCATGGCTCCAAAGTAGTAGGGAAGAAAATATATTCCCTCTGGTACTTGTCCGCCTTAACATGATGCAACTTGTGCAGCCCTTTTTGTTTCAAGGAACTCCTTCATTATCAAATTGGAATCTGAAGAGGACAGTTATTGTCAGTCCATAAAAGTAGACAAGTCCTCTTCATGTGTGGCTCTAGGGCTCTCTCAGAGTGGAAAGAGTTGACTCAGGGCTCACTGCATTAGTTGGCTCTATTTTGGGGACTGCCTGAAGGCCAGTGACAAGGCCTGTACTTGGGACATTTCCCACTCCAAAATGGATCCTAGGCAGCCTAGGTCTTTGAGTTCCTTGCCTTGCAGGGAGCATTGCTGGGCTGAAGATTTTGAGACACTGTATTCGCGAAGGCTTTCACGTTTGGGATCTAATGGTTGTTGTGGGTTTTTCAGG